ACACCTGTCTCTTATACACATCTAGATGTGTATAAGAGACAGAAATGAAACAGCTTCAATAGTAGAATTTAAGAACACTGATTTATTAGTAACTCTGATATTTCTGTCACTCCTGTGGCCTTCATCAGCGAGAATAATGGAAAATTGTTGTTTTCCATTATTCTCACTGATGAAGGAACACACGTGGAACACGAATGATATATATGTATATATGTATATATATATATATATATGTATATGTAGAAATGTATATATATATATATATATATATATATATGTATAATACAATATATAATAAAAAATAATACAATACAGTATAAATACGCCACCTGTAAAGCAATTCCAGCAGTTGGTTTATTGAATATAAATTCTTCGCTAAACACCGGTTCCAATTGCTGTTTAATCGTCTGTGATTTCTTCTTTGAAAGTTTTTTGTTGCCCACAACAAGAAATAATTTGACGTACACATCTATTGACAACAATAAGAAAGCAGAATGTGAGAACGTTTATTATTAGGAGGTTTTTCAAGGATCTTACCTGAGTCTCATTCAGACTTAACAACTAACTGATCAGAACTGGGTCAGGAATATGCGCGTGTATCACAAACACACGTGTTGTCCCACGTATTTTTTACACCCCCGGTCCTTAATAGGCGGCCCACGGGCCAAATTTGTCCTGCAAGGCAATTTAATTTGGCCTGTGAGGAAAAATATATATTTAGAAACATATTAAAAGTTAGATGAATACATTTTCAATAACGTAAAGTCAAAAAGTCAACCCTTGAGAGCAACGTGCACGTTGATGGTTTCAAAATGAGCAAGATCGATGATATAGGCCATAAATAGAATGAATAGCGCAAAAATCGGGTGATTTCGCTGGTTCTATTTTTCACTGTGTGTTTTAAACGAGCAAAAAAGAAGGAAAACGCGTTATGATGTAAGGGATAACTAACTCAGATCTAAAATTAAAGCCAGTAAACAGAACTATCAAAAAGCTCTGAAGATTAGTATTCTTAATAGCTCTGTTAAATTTTGCCACTGAGCAATTGCGTGTCCTGATGCCTGATCTGAGACCCCTTTGAGACTCTTGGTAGAAGAAGCTTATTTTTAAATGTAAACTCAACTAAATCTAGGTTATTTTGCATATACATTCGTACTTAAATTTACATGATAATAAACAGTTAGTTAACCAAAGAACAGTGCTTATAAAAGTACATTTCGATTGTCCTACAACTAATTTAAGTCATACAGAACTCTCTGTGCTGCCAAGTCCTGTCTGTGTGTATTGTTCTGATCACTTTTTCGTCAAAAGGCAGGTTTTTGTATTGTGGTCAATTACATTGATAAAGCGACTCACTAAGTTTGATAATCAATCGGCTAATCTGGTGGTAGCCGCTGTGTGTGCGCTAAACCGTGGAGATCTCTAGATCCCCGGTTCAATTCCCATCGCTGCCTCTCCTTGTGTTTCAGCTAGAGGGCTGAAATACAAGTTACAATAGCGCACCGTCTTTCGGATAAGCCTTTGGTCCCGTATGCATTATGGCCCATGTGCACGTAAACGAACGCAGTACACGCTTCGGAAAAGAGTAGGGGATTGTCTCCCGGTGCACTGCCCAATCACCACCAGAAGGACCCCACTGGAAATAAGTCTTCTAGACTTTCGTGGGCTATCCTTAGTGTTTACACCGAATAAATCCAAATCCAGATATATCAAATAGAAGACTTCAATTTTAATATACTT